ACACAATGAGGCATGGAGCGTGGAGAGTCACATGGGGCCACGGGGGTGACCGAGACGTGTTAACTGGAGTGGCATATGAAGATAATTTAGAGGTCCACTGTAGGGGAACATCTCTCATGGATCCATTGGCTATTAGTAGTTCTAAAGCATAGGCATATAATTATTGTTGCAGACGTCGAACCTCACGTGTAGAAATCAGACAAAAGAATCTCATTGGATCACGACAACTGCACCTGCATTCCCTATATGCCATCTCCTTCGATCCTTCCTATTCATGGACAGGTAAAAATTAAGGCTTGTTTGGCATGACTTGGTTTGCTTATAAACATTTCGTCTTGTCCGAAGTTTAAAATTAGCTAGAAGAAGCACTTGCATTTCGTGTTTTGATAATTATATGCCTTATCATAAAGTGCACCCCTTAATTTTAGATCTGAGTCTTGAATCTCTCTTCCTAAAATTGTAATGTTAAAAGAAACATTTGAGTTTCGTGATTTGATAACTATATATTTTATTATAAGGTGCATTTTTAACTTTAGAGTTGGAATTTGAAACCTATTTTCTAAAATTATAATTTGTTCAAAAAAAATTGGTTAGAAGAAAATTTTGATTTTAACTTTTATAATGACTTAGAAATAAGTTTTTAAAAAATAATTTTTTAACATGATTTATTAAGAAATAAATATCAATATACAACATATTGATAATTTCTTCACATTAAAAGTTAAGTGGAGTTATTAGTCAAAATTGTTGAGTAAAATTTAACATTTTTAATCATATCAGTGTTTTTCACTTTTTTTTTTTTCTATGAATCAATGTTCTTCACTTTAATAACATTGTACATATTGCAAACCTAATGATAATTAAAAGTTAGTTAAGGTTATTCAGCAATAAGTTTTCCAAAGTTTTCAGTGTATACCACGTTTCATAAAATATATATATATATATATATATACCACGTTGATATTTGTTATATTCACCAATGTAGTGCAAGTTAGAATTTAATAGGTAATTGAAAAAATCATAATAATGTATGTCACATAGATATTAAATAATTTAACTAACGTGATTTATGTTAAAGATTTGATTTATGGCTGAAAACTTATTAACGTAAGCCACATCGATGATTTTTGTTTTAGCAACTTGAATACCATCTTGCTTGTGGAGGAGTGGAAGTCATGCCAGAACTGGATGATGGTGTTGGTGGGGTGGTTTGGTTTAGAATTTTGAGTAATGAGAAAGAGTTGAGTGTGGGATTGAGTAGTGCCATTTTGGAGAGAATGAAATGGGATGAAGAAGGGTTTGGATGGGTGAGTCATGAGTGGAGGAGATCAGAACTCAGAAGCAAGAGAGAGTGAGAAGGGTAGAGTAATTTGCTCATAGTCCTTTTGTCCACTTTTGTTAGTATCTTTAATGGATGTTTGTTAACTTACCGTTAAATTCATTAAAAAATTCAAAAATCCACTATAATTCACTCAATTATTCTCTTTTAACCTTTTTTTTAGAGCAAAAGGTACGCAATTTCATATAATATAAATATCCTTCCATTTCCATCAACAATACAACATTTTTTTGAGATCTTTTACTTGGTAAATTCATGCAAATTTTATTTTAGAAGAAATTCTTGAATTTTATTTTTCAGTCAAAAGAGGAATTGCTTGATAAACTAAAGACTCTGTTTAATATGTGGCTGCGATTTTTGATTTACATTTTGATTTCTATAAATCTCGCAATTTTAAATGAAAAAACTAGTTAGTTTGCTTTTGTTTAAGATTTAACGTAGTATTATAATTGTTAAAAAAAAATAACAAAAATAGTTTTAATACTATTGAACATGTTTCTAGTTTTAGTTGTCAGTATTAATTTTTTTAAATAAATTTTTAATTTTTAATTTTAATTTTGATTTCTAATATTTGCAAAAATTGTTAAAACTAAAATCAAAATTTAAAAATTACAACTATAATAAACAAAACCTAAATAATTCGAGTATTTGTCTTTGTGTAACTTTGGTGTAAACTAGCATAGCATCCTTGTTCTTCTGGCATTCCTTAACTATTTCTTTTCTTCCTCTTCTTTTTTTTTTTTTTTTGCTCCTAACGTCTCTGAAAGATTTTCTCGAGTTTTTAATAAATAATTATATATTTTAAGAAAATAAAATTAAAATATTATTTAGCACATTGCGTTCGACATGAGCTCCAAGAAAAAAAAAATACATGTTAGTACATATTGTAAAGGTGCAAGGGGGAATAAGGAAATTGCAAAGGTAATTGAGTGGATTTTGAACTTTTAATAATTTTAACAGTAAGTTAATAGATATTTATTAAAGGTGCCGATGAAAGTTGACGAAAGGATTATGAATGACTAGTTTTTTTTTTAAAAAGTTAGATTTTATTTGCCATAAAAAAAGGTTTTGAATATTTATTGCCTATTTCTTAATTGTGCAAGAATTTTATTTGTCATTAAGTCATTTAAATATATCACATTTTATCTAATCTAATCCCGTTTTTAGAATATTTTTCAATCCTATCCAATCTTGCACTCCAAATTGTTGCAATAATTCATATTCAAAAAGAACAAAAAAAAACACACACACACACTTGATTTAGCATCACTTTCATATTGATAATATTAATCAACCCATTAATTAAACTAACTCTCAACATTTAATTTTCAAATTAATGGCAAGAGGGTAAAATTCCTTATTATTAACAATATTTTAAGAGGTAAATGCATATCAATTTTGATTCTTAAAAATAACTAAAGTCTCAATTTTTATTTAAAAATTAAAAATAAAGATGCTCTTTTATGATAGAATGGATAATTAAAACGAAGGGATAATTATAAGATTAAAATAGAAAAAGATATATTTCTCTCCCATAAAATATTAAACAACAACTATCATTCTAAAA